ATGTTATGGTTTGAATCAGAATATCCCCAAAATTTCATGTGTTCACAGAGGTAGGGGTTTTGGAGAATGTTTGGATCAAGAGACACTCGTCTTATTAATGGGTTAATCCATTCTTGCGCTCACAGCTGAATGTGCTCTTAGTGGATGAAGTAGGTCACTGAGGAAAAACCTTAAAAGGGAATATTCTTATCCCCTGGCCCTTCCTCACTCTCTGGTCTCTCCTATTTTATGCTTCCTGGCTACCATGAGCAGCTTTCCTCCACCGTACTCTTGCACCACATTTCTGCCTTGCCTTGGACTGAAGCCTCTGAAACCATGAACCTCTCCTAAAGTTGTATGCCAGGTATTTTTTTCCAGTAATATATGGATGACTAATATACTGGAGGACGGGGTTCCAGGATCGGTGCTGCCTGGATCATGTGCCCACCTGTGGTAATAGGGTAGGGGTGGGCAGAAATACCTATTATTCTGACAACCCACCAGGATTATGCAACAACAGGAAGGAATTTCCGCCAAGGAAAAGGATGTCAAAAGTGAGATGATGTACATAGGCCAGAGGGGTAAGATTCACTAGCTGTCACAGTCCTCCACGTGCGAGACAGGGTTAGACTCACACAGACATGGCCGGGGTATTCGCAGCCTCACAAAGCAATAAGGTCCACAGATGTGAAGCCGTTATTGAAGGCTGATAGCCACCATCATCCATGGAACATCAGGTGCCAGGAACTGGGCCAGGACATTTCATGTGCATTATCTCCTCCCAAGATGACCCGAGGAAGTAGGTACTTCTATTATCCCAAGAGAGTAGAAAGCAACCTCTCTTTTCTTTGGCAAGATAGCCAAGAAAACCATAAAATTGTTTATGGGCTCCCTGTCCCAGCTCAGAGAGGTTAAGTGACTGGCTCAAGGTCACACAGCTAGCACATTAAATAGACATCCTGGGAAGTGTTTGGTTGTAAGCCAAAAGAGTACTTCCATTCTTCTCTGTGGACCAAAGGATTAGTGATGTCTGCCTGGGGGGGGCAACCTAAGGAAAGAATATCTGGGCAGGTGTCCAAGGAAGTTAGGAGAAAGAAGAGAGGTCAATCCTCAATACTCAGAAGGGCCAGCCCGGGCACCCCACACCCTGTATATTCCATCTCACCTATGACAGCCTTTTGGAGTGTAGAGACCCCTTCTTCTGAGGCTGTCTTAACCAGCTCAAAAATTCTGCCTAGGATAGACCCCAACCCCCGTCTCGCCATACTAGTTGTCCGCCCACATATGAACATGGGAGCTGAGAGCCCAGGCACAGTTTAAGCTACACAGATAACAGAGGAGATCTCACCTTGCTTTTTCTGAGCAGTGTACTTCCATTTAATGAGATCTGAGATCAATCAGATATTACCCTCCAAACAGGCTCTCTGCCTCCTACCACTCCCAGGCCAAACACATGGCCCCCTTCTGGACAGAAGAAGACAGCCCCAGACCCAGGGCTAGAAATTGGTGTTGTTTCAGGCTGAGCTGTTTGTTGGCGTTTGCTCTCTCTTAGCATCACAACTTCTGCAAAGGTGGTGGGAACATATGATTCCTTAACACTCTGAATGCCACTGAGGCATGCGTAGTAAATGTTAGGCTATGGGTATCTTGCCAGAATTCGCAATGAAGTGATTAGAGGTCTCTGAGTAACAACATAGTCTCCAGCACCCGAATGAGCCACCCCATCTTCAGTGTCCAAGCAGTCGGCCACCAGTCCACACACACCAAATCACCCCGGGCATCCCCAGTGCTCGAGGCCAAGGCACACTTTCCATGCCTTCCCTCATGGCTGCTGACCACAGCCTTGCACAGCTGGTCTACTCTCTTGTCCTGGACTGGCCTCCTGACTGTTCCTTCTCAGTCTCACTCCTGGACTCTCCTAAGGTGTCTGCTGGGACCTGTGGCTGATGTTCCCTCTCTCCAGTCTGCCTACTTAAACTCATTCACTGGAAGAAGCACTCGAAAACAAAAACACTCCGCTCAACCCCAGTTCTTCCATAGACCCAGCAGTCTTCGGGTCTTTCTACCTGTCCTAAACTCTTCCTCCATCCAGTCCTGCGGATACCCTTATTTTCTGACTCAGCTAGTGGCACAGCAACTACCCAACCTCCCAAGATGGAAACCAAAGGCGTTCTGGGCTGCCGCTGTCTCCCAAAGCTCAGGGAGTGTCTAAGTGATTTCTCCCAGCAGCCCTTCTCTGTTCCTGCGGCCACCACCGGCCATCCTCCCTCAGTTCCCACCTCTGAGCCACCTCCTAACTGCCTATGCCCCCTGCCTCCAGTGATTCACCATCCCTGGCACCCAAAAGGGTCTTGGAGAAGGCAGGCAGGACCAGGCTGTTGCCCCATATCACAGCTCCTGGCTGCACCAGGGTGAAACCCACGTGGCCATCCCCAGACTCTGTCCTGGTCTGAGCCTGTCCTACTGCACTTCCCAGGGACAGTCAAAATGATGCCCAAAAGGCCCCCTTCACTTAAATCCCCCCTTCCCCCTCCACTCCTGCCCTGCACCCTCACCTTGCCCACGCTGAGGGCCACCTGGGTAACTCCTATCACTCTGAGATGCAGCTCAAGGGTTGCCTTTCCAGACAACTCACCAGGCCCAGACCTGTGACCCCCAGCCCTCCCTCCACTTCACCTCAGTGGCCACCCCCACTGCCACTGTCGTCCGCCAGGGAGCTTGCTTTGTCCCTCAAGGACCACCCCCTCCCTTTGGTCCTGTGTCTCTGTGAAGATCTTTCTTCCCTGGGACCCAGTATTTAGTATCGGGCTGTGTATACAGAAAGTCTGAAAAAATGTGGAGGAAAGAGCTCAAGGCTGAAGGAGGTGATGTATCCGGAGCACATCTGTCACCTGGGTGGTTTCCAACCCAGAGCCGGGCACAGTGGGTGCTCAGCAAAGCCCGCTGTGTTGTAGTTTCTGAATTAATCTGACTGAAGGCAGTGTCTAGGGTGCGCTGAGGTATGATGGGGTCAGGCAGAGGGCCTGAGTCTGAGACACTTAGGGCAAAGGCAGCTTGGGGTGCATTGTAGTGGGGGAAGGGGAGATAGGGATGCCTGGAAAGTGGAGAAGGAATTCAGTCCCCGCTCCCGGTTCCACTGGCCGGGTCTGCCCGCAGGGCCACGTCCCGGTTCTGGGGCCGCGAGACCCCAGGCTCCTGGCGCGCTCTTCGCCCTGCGCCGGGCGGCGTGCGTGTCGCTTTAAAAGCTCCCTCCCGGCGCGGGGCCGGCCCCTTCCCCGGCAGCGCCGCGCGAGCCGAGCCGCGAGCCCGGGCCTCGCAGGGAGCAGCGCGGCGCGGGCGCCGGTGCAGGGGCGCAGGGGGCGCGGGCGCAGGGCGAGGCCAGGTGCGCTGAGCCCGGTGCGGGGCTGGGCAGGGCGGGGCGGGGCGGGGCGCGGCCCAGGGAGGCCCGGACAGACCCGGGGCTGCGAGTAGGGAGCCCGGCCCGGCCCGGCCCGGCCCGGCCCGCGCCGCCTCGCATCGCCTCCCGTCCTCTCCTCGCCTCACCTCGTCTCTTCCTCCGTGCTCGGGAGCCTAGCATAGCCGGGCCGAGCCTGCGGATCGGGGTCCCCGCGGCCCACACCGCCCTCCCGCGGGACCTGCGGACCCTGTACCTTCCCCATCTCGCTGCGCCCCCGGGTACCAGGCGCAGATCTCGGGCTCCTAGGAGCACTGAGTGCCAATCGCGCAGGGCAGAGCCCGAGATCCGCCGACCAAGATCGGACCTGACCGGACCGAACCGGACCGGACCGAGCGAGCCCCGCACAGAGCCTGGAGATCCCGCGCCCTCCCAGCGCCGTGACTCCATTTCCCGCCCCAGGACCCGCTTGGCATCGCTTCGGCCGCCCCGCGCCCGGGTCACCTGTGGCCTCGGGGCCACAAACCCTCCGGACTGGGATCCTGGAGGGGGTCGCTGGGGATTTTTGTAGCGCCGAGGCCCCGCCCCCTCCCGCCGCCCCGATGTCCCCGATCGAGGCGCGCAGGACCCCCCTGAGGCCAGGGGCCGAAGGGTGCAGAGAGAGAAGCCCGCCCTAGGGAGCCTGGGGGCCCCCTAACCTCGCCTGGGGGCTCAGCCCCCGACTCTGCGTGCAGGAAAGGCTGAGGTCCCCACCTTCGGTGAGTCCTGGGAAGGCGGGGCTGGGCAGAGGGTACCTGGGAGTGGGGCACCCAAGGGACATTCGAAGGGGGGCGGGGGACCCCAACGGCCCTGGGTGGACTAGCGAGGCCGGCTTGGCTAGGAATGGGGGTGGGGAACAGACGACCAGGGCGCTCCAGAGGAGGCTGGGGACTTACGCCTTTGAAGCAGGGGCTCCCCCAATCTCCTCCAAGAGGAGGGGTGCGCTGAACACCATCTGCCTCCACCACTTCTCCCCACAAAGAAAAAATAAATAAACCTCAGCGAGGCAGGGTGCAGGGAGAAAGCAGCACTGCCTGGCGGTGCTGCAGCCTGGGAGGGCTGACGCCAGGATCGGCTCTCTCCGCAGGCGGCTGCCCTTCTCCAACCCAGCTCGCTCTCCAGAGCTCTCCACAGCTGGAACCCCCTCCACATCTGGGAGACCCTGACCACCGTCTCTCTATTGGAGTCAGTTGCATCCAGAGACCTCTGCCTTGGCGGCTGCCTCCGAGTTGCAAAGAGATTGATTGCTGCTGCCTCCCCATCCCAAGGGCATCTCCTACCCTGACTCCCTGCAGAGTCATCCCCCTGGTCCCGGCTCCTCACTTCAAGTCCTGGAGGCCACTCCTGAGACCCAAGGCCCCTCACCCTGCCCTCCCGTGTCCTCACCTTGACCCCTGTGGCAGACTCTGTCTCCCTCTGGGTGCCCTGTTCCCCACCCAGAGGCAGAGCAGGCAGAGCACCGGTGGACAGGGGCTGGGTGTGGGCTGCCCAGGGCCAGGGTGGGCTGGGGGGCCGTTAAGATGTGGAGCTCTGCCCCACCAAGGGTGTCTCCGTGGAGGCAGACACAGCGTGTGCCCTGCTGGGGGGAGTATGGGCAGGCCCGTGGCCAGGTGGTGAAGGATGAACATTCGGGGGGCCCCGGACCTCGGGCAGCCCAGTGACGACCCCAACAGTGGTGGTGAGCGGGAGCGAATCCGACAGCGCATGAAGATGGTCATCGGGCAGCTTGAAGACATCCTGCGGGAGCTCAAGGAGGTGGCCAAGGAGCTTCGGGAGGTGAGTGAGGGGTACCCTATGACCACTCAGGCCTAAACCAGCCTGATCAGGCCTGACACAAACACGGACACGTGTGTGAGTGTGCAAAACTGCGGGCATGTGTTTTGGTCTGCTGGAGACTGCCTATCTCGTTCTCCTTTACCCCAGTCTACTTGGCTAAAGATCTCAGCAGACCCCAGGGTTGGTGGCATCCTGGTCACAGAGTAGCTTAGGAAGTGTGCCTGTGACCCTACTCTGTGATAACCACTCAGGGTTGCCAAGGTGGCCAGTAAGGACCAAGTCTCAGCATGGCTTCTTAGTGGGAGATGCTCTTCTGGGACCTAAACTGACCCTTGAAGCGCCTTCTGCCTTCCTTGTGACTCTGACCTGGCTTTCCCAAGGCAGTCCCCACAACAAGAGGCCTCTCTCCAGCTACCCCCAGAGATACTTAGAACCCTTGACCCACAGAGAATCTGTGCTGGGGTCAGAAAGGGCCTAGAGAGCTACTAATGGGTGTCAGTGTTCTTTGTGCACATGAGCAGGTACAGGGACTGCCTGTAAGAGGATATACTATGGGAGCATGCACACACACACACACACACACACACACACACACACACACACGATGTTACTGAATGTTTTCACCCTAAAGTCACTGAGAAATGTCGAGATGTGTGTGTTCCTCTCTGTGTAAATGGAGCCTGGTTTAATTACTGCTTCCCACATTGCTGGGGTAATGAGGTACACATGTCCTCGGCCCTGCCCCCTGGGCTGTGTTCAAGCCCAAAAGGCATGACCAGCATTCTGAGCGGCTGCCTTGAATTTGCCCGCTGGGTGCCATTGTACCAGCCAGGTGGGCTTTAGGCAAATTTCAACTCCTTGTAACCAGGGCCCCTGCAGAGATGGCAGGGAGAGTGATTGTGCGGGAGTTATGGGCCCAGCTCTGCCCGGCCAGTTGCACTGGGGCTGGGGAGGTAGGTGATACAGATACCGACTCCAGGCATTCTGGCCTGGACTGAGAGCCAAGGAGCAGGGGCTGTTTGGACGGAGCTGTAGTAGGAGTTGGAGTGGGGGTGTCGCAAAAGTTTTGGACAGAAACTGCCCTGGATCTGCTAAGAAATCCTGTGTTGGGAGGTGGGATGATGGTGGCTTCAGGTAGACAGACGTGGAGGTGCTTCTGCCCAGGCTGGGCCGGCCATGGTCTGGGCCGAACATCAGTGGCCTGTACAATTTGGAAATCAAAGGCTAGAAACTCCTGAGCAACCCGCCTCTTCCGGCCTCATGGATCCAAAGGGTGACAGTCCCCTTTGCCACCCCCATCCGATTTCCGATTCTCCATAGTTCTACTGGGCCGTGGAACTGTTCAGAGTCTCAGTCTCGGCCAGGAGCCTGGGACCCAGGCCCCTGCAGATTTAAGTAGAAGGAACCGGAGTTAACCCTGCCCTGATTTAACGCCGATCGTACTTCCAACCAGACGTCTTCCAGACTCTTGCATACCCTCTTCCTCAGCACAGCCATGCAGAACTTAAAAGGGCCTTACAGATAATCCAAGCCAGCCCTGGCTCCTGAAGAAAGCACAGCCCAGAGAGGAATAGGGAATTGTCCAAGGTCATAAAGCATGCCAGGGGCAGAACTGAGCTTAGAACTCAGGTGTCTGATATCTATTTCTGAGGCTTTAGCAGGTAGGCTCCTGAGTACTATTTTTATTATTATTGTTATTGTTACTGTTAGTGGTCTTTTTGAGAGAGGGTTTTGCTGTAGTTCAGGTTCATTTTGTAGTCCAGGCTGGCCTTGAAGTTGCAGTGATCCTCCTTCCTCAGCCTCCCAAGTGCTAGGATAACAAGTGTGCACCACCACTGGATTTTTTTGCAGTACTGCCAGATTGAACCCTTGGCCTTCCCCCTGAGCTACATCCCCAGCCCGTTTTCATTTTTCGTTTTTGCAGAGTCTAGTTAAGTCACCAATTTGCCCAGTCTGAACTTGAGTTTGTGATCCTTCTGTCTCAGCCTCCCAGAGTGTTGGAATTACAGGCCTGTCCTACTGTGCCGGCATCTCTTTGCATTTTGACAGGGACGTCCAGGAAATAATATCCTTTGCTGCTGTAGCACTAGAGTTTATTTGCAGAGCATTTAGATACCCCTCCTTCCCTGCCACACTCACTGGCTCCCATGTACCCCACAGCAAAGCTCCACGTCACAAGCTGTGCAGCCCCAAAGCCTGAGCCTGGTCAGAGAAAGATGAGTGCCCTCCCCCCACACACCCTGTAGGCCATGTGCCTCCACCCAAGACTTTGGTGGGTTGTTATGGCAACCAGAGTCTACCCCGTATGCCACTGCCTGCCCGCTGCCAATGGCACCCAGCTGGGGGTTGGGGGGAGACAAGCTAAAGCCTCTTCATTCCCCAGGCAGCGCTGGACATGGGGCAGTGGCTAGAGGGGAGGGCAGGGAGGCCCTGGTGGAGGATACATGGCCACCGTCCTGTGGCCTGCAGTCGGTCAGGGACAAGGTTACCAAGTGGGGTACAAGGCCCTGATTGGTCCCTGGAACTGGGGATCTTGGCTTATGGTCCTTCAAAGGAACTGTCAGACCAGTCAGCTGGCATTTCTCCACAAGGAACCTGGGAAGGGTTTAAAGTCCGGAGGATAGGAGACACTCCCCACATCACAGCCTATTCCCGGGGCGGCACCTGCCCTGTCCCCACCATTCAGCTCTCTCCCCAAGTCCCTGAGCCTCCCTTTGTCATCCCTGAAATGGGGACCCTGATGACCTGCACCTCACAGTGACCCTGCAAGGACTTGTGGGGGACAAGGACAAGTGTGTGGGAGGGTGCCACACTGCTCTGCTCGCAGGGGATTTGAAGTTCCCTCTCTCACATGACCCTCTCTTCAAAGCCCCACCTAGCTCTGCCCCAAGCTCCCTGGGTGATAGGAGCAGGTCCTGTCCCCCGGTGGGGACCGCTGTTAAAGGACCAAGTGAGATAAGGAGCACAAGAGTGCTTTGAGAGCCAACACTGTGTTGCAGAGAAATGTGACCAGCAGATGTTAATTAGCTCTCATCCCTCCCAGGTTCCTCAATACTTCCCAGTTCCAGACAATCCTATCAGGCTCCTAAGCACCTCAGAATTCCATGGATCTTAATTCAGAGGCGCAGCATAGCCCAGAGGCTAGCAGTGTGGGCTGTTCCACCAGATAGCTTTGGATCGGATCTGAGTGCCAGTCCTGTGTGACCATGGGAATGTTACTTTACCTCTCTGTGCTTCTGTTTTGCCATCTGTCAAATGAAGATATCAAATTTTACCTTTTCCTTGGCCCCTGTGCCCAGGATTGTTGGGAAAATTAAAAGAGATTATGTATAATGTACTTAGCCTCATAATGGTGTCAAAGCACCATATGTGTTATGTTTGGGGTATCTTGTTTTGTTTTGTCTTTAACGTGCTGGGGGTCTAAGCCAGGGCCTTGTGGATGCCAGTCAAGCCTTCTACCACTAAGCCACCTCCCCAGCGCACTTTTTTGTTCATTTGGTTGGTTTTTGGTTTTTGGTTTTTTGCAACAGGGTCTCTGCTGTGTAGTCCAGGCTGCCCTTAAACTTACAGCGATCCTCCCGCCTCAGCCTCCCAAGGACTGACAGGCACCCCGTGCCCAGCTCTCGTAGTGTTTGGTAGCTGAACCACACTGGCCTGCTCTTTAGCAACACGGGCAGCCTTGCTTTTTTTGGTCACATAGCTCTTCAGGCATGATCAGGGAGGTTAGGGCTCCTGACTGGGGACCGTTGGTGTCCCTGCAGTAAGCAGTCCCACCCCTACCAAGACCGTGGGGAGGGGGGAAAAGGGGGTTCCTAGAAGGTGGCTTTTGAACAGAGACCTGAGGGAAATGAGAAATAAGGTCACCTGCCCCCCTGGGGGCTCAGCATCCCAGGTCTTGGGGAGGAAGCATGCTCAAGGGTAGTCTGTCTAAGTGCAACTAGAGAAGAAGGGCAGAGGGAGGGGCACAGGGGGCACGGGGGGGTGCCACTGTGCCTTGCAGAGCCTGTACCAAGCCAGGGATGATGGCACATGCCTGTAATCTCAGCACTGGGGAGGCTAAGGCAGGAGAGTTGCCTTGAGCTCAAGACCTGGAATTTGGATGTGTTCTCAGTGAGCGTCCCATGTCCTCACTCCCCGGGATCTTCTGTCTGCATTCCTTCCTGGGGGAATCTGCCTCCCTACCCTCCCCCACCCCAGGTCCCCACCAGCTCAGAGCTCCCAAATCCTCATCCTTGGCTGCCTGATGGCAAGCTCCTTCTCTTTGGGGCTCAAAGGTAGCCCTTGACCCTATCACCTGTCTCCCCACATCATCCACGATTCCTAGGTAGGGTGAAACTTAAAGTCACAGTTGCTCACCTTGACCTGAGCACCCGAAGAGGATGCAGGGTAGGCAAAGCCTTTCCGCAGTTGCAGGTGGCAGTGGAGGGTCCCCTGCCCCTGACTGCCACAGGAGGTGGGCATTGCAGAAGGCTGTTTCTAGCTGCCCAGTTGTGAGGTCCCATTGCAAGGTACTGTGTCTGAAGGTATCAGGGAAAACCACAGGCCTTGTGAGTGTGCAATAAATGAAGGTGGCCCAGCCAAGAAGCAGCCGGAGCCAGAGAAGCTGGGGACCACAGGCCTGAGTCAAAGTGGGTCAGCTCCGTCACCCGCAGCTCAGTGCACACTGCGCGGCTTTCTTTCTTATTATTTTTCGGTCATGCCTTCCTTTCCTCCCTTTTCCCTCTGCCTGCTCTACCCCCGGACAGATTCAATGAAGCTCCCTGGTCAGTTAGGCCAAATTGCAGGATGAGAGCTATGAATAACGGGCAGCTCGCTCCCTGTCTCCTCCACACCACAGCCCCCCAGGAAGATAATAAACAATGTAATCACAGAGTTAAAAAATAATCAGTGGTCATAAATAATGCAGAATCCAAAGTTATATAACCAACTGTCCAGGAAGCTGGGAGAGAAGGAAGGAGGTAGCAGCTTGTTGGGAGAGGTAAGGGATGGGTGCTGGGGCTGGGGACCCTGGGACCTCAGACCTGGCTGGCTGGTCTTAGAGGACACATAGGTGCAGTCCTTGCAGAGAGGACTCAGCCAGAGCTGTCGAGGACTCGGGCCAGGCAGTGTGGGGCAGCCAGGTAAGCCCCAGGCAGAAGCAAGCAGGCAGAGGGGCCGCAGGTGGAGAGGAAGATGGAAGGTCTGTGTTTGGGAGACTCGAGGGTTTGAGAAGCTGGGAAGGCTGGACAGAAGGTTGATGAAGGTGGGAAGATTGGGTAGGTGTGGTTCGGGAGGAGGGAGCTAAACCAGGACAGAAGTTGGGCATCCCCTGGGGTCAGTCAGAGCCCTCCATCCTGCCTTCCTCTCTCATGCTTGCTCTTGGCTCCCTCTCGGTTTTAAGGTACCAAGACTAGGCATCAGCGTTCAGCTCTCGTCTCATCCGAGTTTCTGCTGAGTGCTGGGCCTGTTTCCTACCAACAAGCCCAAGGAGACAGACTCCACAAGATTCTTCAGGCCCTTCTAGATTTGGGGTTCTGTGACTCTGATTTTATGGTTCCATTTCTCTCTCCATGCTCTCTCCCCACCTCATTCCTTCTGTGTATATAATTATTTCCCTGCACTCCAAGACAATCCCAAATTACATGTAGGCAAATGATTATTAAATTTCCGAAATCACAGATTCCAAGACATCCGAAGCAGAGAGGCAAGTAGCACAGAGGGACCGGGTCCCCTAGGCCACAGGGCTTCCCCTTCTCATCTGACTTCTGTCACTCAAGGGGCTCCCCACGGTAGACAGGGCCACACTTGCCTGTGACCTCAGTCATTTGCCTTTTGGAACCATTTTGTTCTTTTGGATCTGGAGTGAGACTCGTGAGACAAATGGTCCTGCCTGTGTGCACGAGGAACCCCTGCCAGAGTATCATTCCTTGTGTGAAGTCACATCTGCTCTCTGGACACGTGCATGGTGCACCGTGGCTGGTGGTTGTCGATCTTGTCCTATGAGCTTTCCCAAGAGCATGGGGTCTTTAGGTCCTCACAGCTGTAGGCACTACTAGAATTCTCCTTTGACAAAGAAATAGAAGTGCAGGGAAATTGAGTGAGTTGGCCAGGGTCACACAGTTGCAAAATAATGAGTCAAGGCTGGAGCTCGGGTCTATCTCCAGAGCTCAGAGCCATAAGGATTTGACTGTCTGACTCTGCTGTTTAAAGCAGTCCTATCTGTTCAGTCTGTCACCCTGGCCACAGAGGAGGGTGTCATCTCCTTCAGCAGGACAGCAGAGCACAAATTAGAGTGGGATTATTACTTGCAGCCAATTGGGATTTGAATCCAGGACTCCCTCCAGATCCCCAGGAAGTGCCAGGGAGACAAGGTGACCACCCTAGAGCTGCACAGTCCTCTGCCACAGCGCCCGCCAGACCAGAGGCAGGGCCTGTCCTGTGCCTTGGTGCTGTGTCTTCCCCATGCTTTGATCCCCCACACCAGACCAGTGGTATTCAAGACGCCCTTGGACTCATGGCACCTGGTATTATCACTGGCTGTGACTTCTCCAGCCACCCCTAGAAATGAGGACTCCTAAATCTTACTTAGAAATAGAAGGAATTTTGGAGGTAAACTAATTCACCCACACTCCCTGTTTATAGATTGAGAAACTGAGGCCTAGAGAGGAGCCAGGGCCAGCCAGGTCTTCCGAGCAGGCTTCACATGAAGCCATGCTGCTGCTCCTCCTGAAGCACCTAGCCTGTTCCCACCCTCACCTTGGGGTGCTCTCCCACCCCTGCTGGGCAGCTGGTGCATCCCTGGGAGGGCAGTCAGCCTCAGAAGCCTTTGTTAAGGGCTTAATTAGTGCATGAATGAATTGACTGACCCCGGTACAAGGGAGGGATAGGCTGGGAGCTGGAAGCTGGTCTGTGACTCTCTGAGTGTCCCTGTCACTGGTCTCTGTCGCTCTGACACCTGGACCTCTGGCGCTGCTTCTGCGGCTGCATTTTTACCTGATTCCTCCTCTACTTTCTGTGCCAGGTCCTCTCCCTGGTTTCTGTCTGGCTCCCCTCTTTCCCTCACTCTCCTGCACCCTGATTTATACGCTCATAGGCCAGGCTAGGGATTGTCCTAGGCTAGGGCGGCCTGAGCCTCTGTGAAGGGTCATAGCAGGGCGCAGGGACCTGTGCAGCCCTGCTGCCCCCGGGTGCAGTTCATGAGTAACTGGACCGCCATGGATGACTTCTTTATTGCTTACCAAATAACACTTGCTTTATTCCTTCTCCCAACAAGTGAGGGTGCTCTCTGTGACTCAGGGGGCAGGGATAGCAAGAGAGAGACAGTCTGGGGGCTTGGGCAGTGTAGCAGAAAGGAGTGACCCAGCCAGAACAGCACCGAGCACCATGTTCTGGTCCCCAAGGACTGGTGAAGCCCCCCAGGGGAGCTGCTGACCAGCTGCAGGGACCAGTCCAGGATGCTGTAGGAAGTGTGCACAGGATCCTCCTCCTCACAGCCCTCTGTCGCTTCCTCTTTGAGGACACCTAAGCTGAGTAGACTCGCTGGAGTCCCTCGGCCCCTCCTTAGTGGGGCATCAGAGAAAGACCAAACCCTGGTCACCAAGGCCACCCCCAGAACAGCAGCTGTGTTTCAGAGAGCGGGTATGTGAATGGGGGACCAGAGCTGGAAGCCAACATCTAAGGGAGACTAAGGGGATGGCTGGATTTAGCTCTGTTCACCCCCATCCCATTTGGTCCCTCCAGGATGTAAACAAGCCCTTGACCTCAAATGCAGTCACCAACCAGTAAGGTTGCCAGCCAAAGGTCTGGGCAGGCAGGCCAGGCGCACTCACTGGTCCCCTCATCTCCTGTCCCCTCCCGGCCAGGTGGTGAGCCAGATCGACAAACTAACCTCAGACTTTGACTTCGAGCTGGAGCCAGACGATTGGACCACGGCCACTGTGAGCAGCACCTCTAGCAGTGACAAGGCAGGCGTGGGTGGCCCCTTTGACCTGGGCCACCTGGACTTCATGACAGCTGACATCCTGTCAGACAGCTGGGAATTCTGCTCCTTCCTGGATGTGTCCACTCCATCGGACTCTGTGGATGGCCCGGAGTCATCACGGCCAGGAGCTGGCCCTGACTACCGGCTCATGAATGGTAGCACCCCCATCCCCAATGGGCCCCGAGTGGAGACCCCCGACTCCTCCAGCGAGGAGGCCTTCAGCGCTGGCCCCGTGAAAGTCCAGCTGCCCCAGCGGACCCCAGGGACGCGGGAGAGGGTTCGGTTCAGTGACAAAGTGCTCTACCACGCTCTGTGCTGTGATGATGAGGAGGCGCACAGTGAGGAGGCAGAAGAGGAGGCGGGGGGCCCATCCCCCGAGCAGCCCCATGAAGGACCCCTCAAGCCCTCTGCAGTCCCCCACAAGACACGGCGCTCCCCACTGACTGCTCGCCGCTCCAGTCCCACACCGGGCCCTGAACAGACCCGAAGGGTCACAAAGAACAGCAGCACCCAGACGGTGTCAGACAAGAGCACGCAGACGGTGCTGCCCTACACAGGTGCCAGACAGAAAGCCAAGGGGAAGAACTAGGGGCTGGGGACTGGGCTGGGGGGAGAACAGACACAATCATAATAAAATGTTAAAATGCCAAGCATCTGGCATTTTACAGAGCTTTGACAGAGCTTACCTTAGACACAGAGACACCCCACTCACTAACTTGATCGCTGGAGGCATGGCCAGAGCTGACCCCATCTCAGGGCAGAGCGCCCCAAAGGGCAGAACCCCCCCCCCAGAGGGGTGCCTGAAAGTATGTAAGGCAGATGGGCAGGAGGACCTGGCTGCTGACCCAGCCCAGGCCCTAGAGATGACTCATTGCCCTAAGAGAGCAAGGTCCAGGGAGGGCACCAGGCCCTCCTCCAGGGCAGACCTTGCCTGTCTTTGCCCTGTGCATTGCTGTGTTGCCTGGGATACAGAAGCAAGGCATGCTGATGCCTGGGCAGCCTCTGTGCCAGGCCTCCGGGCATCCACTGTGCCTGGAACCCCAGGGCTCCATCCAGGCATGATCTGCACAGTGACGGTCACAATCATCACTCATGATTGTTTGTTTGTTTACATATTCATTTGAAGTACTGGGGATTGAACCCAGGCCCTTCAGACTGAACTTTTATTTTGAGGCAGTCTTACTAAGTTGCCCCAATTGGGCTTGAACTGTGATCCTCCTGCCTCAGCCTCCTAGAGTGTGAGATTACCAATCATAGTGGCATTTTACAGCATGACTTCATTTAATCTTCATGATCACCCAACAAATTGGGAACATGATTCTCCTCTCTTTTCCCAAGGAGAAGACTGAGCTTCAGACAGGTTAAATAACCAGTCCAAGGTCGCCGAGCCTATTCTCTGTCCCCTTGAGAAAGTGGTTTCTAGGCTGAACCTGGCTCTGCCATGTAGTGGTTGTGTAACCCTGGGCCAGTCCATCTGCCTCTCTGGACCTATTATGGGCTTAAAGAGAGTCCTTGGCTGCTTCACTGGCAGCCACAAGACTCCAACAGGCAATACGCATGAAAGCCCTGGACACATGCTGTAGTCCCCATGGCCCCAGCCCATGCGTCCAGAAGCTTCTGGGGAGAAAAACCACTGCCCAGGAGGTGATGCCCAGCCCCTGCAGATGCAGGGATCCATTGGGGGACCGACAGAGCTGGAGGTTTTGCAGGGTGGGATCCGTCCCCAGCCAGAGCTGAGTCACAGCCTTACAGAGCTGACCAGGGTGCAGCCTCAGACACGAGCCAGGGCAGACGGAGCCCCTGTCCACTCCAGGAAAGCCTCTGTCCTTGGTGCTGCTCAACGATAGAGCCTTGCATCACAGAGTGAGGGATGAGGGCCAGGGGCTTCCAGGGGCATGGGCCAGCAGGGTCCCCACCCAGGAATAGGGCCCACTTTGCTCTGAAGATAGGTATCCAGTGCTCTCTGTGTCTTGGTTTTCCTCTCCAATGGCAAGAAGACTTTCCTCATCTTCATGACCATCAGGGAAAAAAAGCCTACATTCAGATGGGCACAGTGGTGCCCACCTATAATCCCAGCTCTTGGGAGGTTGAGGCAGGAGAATTGCAAATTAAAACAAGTGTAGGCTATATAGTAAGACCCTGTTTTAAAAATAAAAAGAAAGAATGAAACAAAAAACACAGACCTACATTCCCATTTCATAAAGGACAAAAACAGGGCTTGAGAGAGGAGTGTCTGAGAGAGCCCGAGGTGGGAACTTGCCCTCTCCCCAGAGATCCCACACCTCACTCTGGCTCTGTGCTACTGGATGTGGTCATGGGCAACTTGTGCCTAGAGGGGTGGTGTTTTGAGCACACCCTGTACAGGAGGAAGCATGTTGGGAAATGGTTACAGGTTCACTTTGGGGAAGGGTGAGAGAGTCCTTGACTGTGATAGCCCATGGCATCCTGAGATTTGAGGGATGATGCGAGCATGAGGTAAGTGAATTTTCCAGAGGAGGAAATTGAGGTTCTGAGACACTGAGGACCTGCTGAAGGCCACACAGGATGAGTTACAGAGCCAGGATTTGGCCTCAAACTTGAAGGCTTAGCCTGAAAACAGCTACTGTTAAAATGCATGATGGAACCAGTGCTCCAGTATCTGGGGGTAGAGTTGGGGTAGCCAGAAAACCAGGTGGGTATGGAGAGCACTTTGGGAGGAGGAAGTCTGAACACATAGCTTAGTCCTTAGACAACTCGGCTGCCATCAGCCTGAATATCACAACCCTGATGCAAGCCTGGCACCAAATAGGTCATGAATTCAGTGAAAGTGTGTTGAATGAATGTATGAATCCCCATTCGCCCAGGAACATCTATGTGCATTCATGCTTCTGCCTTTATTGAGGACCTCCGATGTGCCAGGTCTCAAGTTGCTTGCCCACACACATCCCCTCACTCCCATCCCCTGTGAGGGGCTAGTCTGGTATGGCTGGGGTTTGAGCAAAGTCAAAACCGAAGGGTGTGGGGTTTCAGCATGGAGAAGCCAGAGGCAGCACTGGGTCCAGCCCATGAGGCCTGGGAAAGGAGCCAGGATGGGAGGGGCCAGGGGCGCGAGGCGGAGGACCAGATGGCCAAGGCGGCCACTTCAGGACAGGTTGATAGGATGGGCACAGTGCAATGTCCCCAGGGCCTGTGATAAGGAAACCTAACAGAAAGGGACAGGTGATGCAATGCACAGGAGTATTCTGATAGCACCGAGGGGTGGGTAGGGGGTCGCCATGCCCAGAGACCCAGCACCATCCCGATTCTTAGAGACACAGCCAGACCATGTGGACAGGAGGGGAGAGAGCAGGGAGACTGGGGATTCTAGAGGGTCCAGGCCTGGCCCCGCCTCTGCCCACTCCCCACTGGGCCCTAAGCCCAAGTTCACTGACAGCTTGGTGTATGGCAGCTCTTTGTCCCTCATCTTTTAACCAGCACTCAATGCCAGATTCAGCTGGGCCCAGCCCAGAATAGGTTGCTGGATAATTATTTATTGAGTAAATGGATTAACCATGGTTGTCATTTTACAGGTCAGAGGAGGCGACTAATGAACAGGTAAAGACTGCTCAAAGTTACACAGGCAGCAACTGCCAGAGTTAGGGACTTGACCTTGGTATTATTTACACCGCGCCTGAGAACTCCTGTTTGCAGAATACTTGCCTTCTGATTGCTGGGAACGTCACATAAGTTTTACCAGGTCCAGGCCCTGTCTTTCTCCCTTTGGCTGGTGGGACCCTTCTAGGACTTTTCTTGGTTCCCTGGAGGCCTGGAACATGGACTAGGTGACTGCCCAAAATGCAATTCCAGGTCCAGTGTCCTTTCCCTTCTTCCTATCTCTAGCAAAGCCTGTACTCCATCTAGTAAATGTTCAGGCCTTTCTGATCTGGAGTACCTGGCTCCCAGGATGTAGGAAGTCTGCTTGGGCATCCATGAACAACTTCCAGGAAGAGGATGAGGCAGTGTTTGAAGTGGACCTTCCTTTGGACGGGGCAAGAGAATGGTGGGCACTGGGGCTGGTGAGAATAAAAACTATCTGGCTGGGAGTGCCACTGGAGGATGGGGGATAAGGGCCTTGTAAAAACACAGAGCTCATGTTGCAGCATGGGAAAGCCGAGGACTGCTTCAGTAAGTGACGTCAGGGTCCCTCAGCCCTGCAGGCTGGTGTCCTGTCCAGTCTGAAGCCAGAGCACAGATTTAAAGTGAGCCAATAGAGAAGGTTTAAGAGATTTCCTGGAAGGGGCCCACCGGATGAATCAGTAAGAATAGCAGGTAATTAGTACCTTAGTAAGAATATGGATCTGCTGAAGCCCTTGAAAATAATTTGATCCTACAAGTAGGTTAAGCATTTGCCCTATAAAGCATTCCCAACCTCCTTCCCCCGTGGGCCAGTGGGCTGGGATGCTGGGGCTGTGTCACCCCGGTGCATGTGAGCCAGCTGGGATTCTGATGTGACCTGATTCTGCCCACCTGCCTGCCCTGCGCAGTTGTCATCACCTCTACCTACTTCTCCTCCTTCACCTATCCCCAGCCAAGGAGACTCTGGAGCCACAGCAGGTGACCTCAGGCTGGCACTGCCCAGGGCCCAGGCTCCATGCTGATCAGATGTGACTCTCTGCCAGGAGCATTCAAGCTCACACACCTGCCTGCAGCTCTGCTCCCCACCCTATTCTTGCTGTGACATGCAGAGTTAAGAAGCTTCCCCATACTGATGTCCTCCCCACCACCATCTGAGAGGTAGCACAGAAGCCCAGCCTCTGGGGCTCACCCCCCCCCCACCATCCTCTACCCTGGAGCAAGCCAGGCTGGTCAGGGAGACACTCACTACCAGGCACAGGTTTGCAGGAACTGTGGAAAGAGGCCTGGGGACCCTGATCCTTGTGAGGTGTCCTGGACTCACTCATCCTGGGATTTTGCCTGTGCCCCATGGTAGAGTGATCGTGAGAGGCAGCCCAAAGGATGTGGCCATATCCCAGCCCACTGTGTGTGTGTGTGTGTGTGTGTGTGGTGATGTGGTGGGGGAGGCTCACTCACCAGTTTCCAGGGTTCCAGGGAGCATTTCAGAACCTGACACCCACTCAGCTAGCAATCTAGGAGCCATCTCTTTCCCTGCTCCCCAACACTGACCATTCCTGTGGGGTCAGTGCTGGGAAGAGACACATTTGCCTGCAAGATTTGGGGTAGAGGGTTAAATGCCCCAGTGATCACCCAGTGAAGGTGTCTGGGTTCCAGGAGTAATGAGCCCAATGTGCCTAAGCTGAGGACAGTGGCCTGAGATCCCAGAGACAACCACAGATGCACAGGAGGTGCCTGGGTGGAGATCAGCCCAGCTTAGCAACCCCCAGGTGGCTGTAGGATGTTCCCAGGGATGCTCAAGGGTAGCAGGAGGTCAAGAAGAGCCTCACTTCAGGGGTGGTGTAAGTAAACAACGGACATTTTTAGGGTGGCCTTGGGCATGGAGTCCAGTTGTGGCAGTTAGCTGAAGTAGAAAATTGTTTGGCTTTGGGACTGTGATGGATTAACAACTAGGGGTCAGCTTGTAACAACCAGCTGAACTGAATCAGTGTGGTGCTGGATGTGGGTGGCCTGCCTGAGGATTGCTGCCAGTACGAAAAGGAGAACTGGAGAGGAAAAT